CAACTCCACTTGATGTAACTCTAATATCCTATCGATCAGTGTTATATCTGCCTGTAGCCATGTTGGATTGGTGAGTGAAGAACAACTTTACTGTAAGCAGATGCAAGAGAAATATGTAATATTGAGCACTGCAGTTGTCTTTTTAGAAATAATACTTTTTTAATAGGGAATCACAAAAATAGAGGTTGTCAGACTAAAATTGCAAGTATAACACCCTATCGAACAACCAATGTTCGACAAGGGTACATATTGAACAACTATAATTTGACAAGGGATAAAAACATAAAATAGAAAAATCACTTTGCGCTACTATGCGCCACTGTAGCATGCAGGACCTATCGAACATCCCCATTTCAATAGTCCACCTCTCTTCCATGTACTTTTTATTTTTTTTAAGTGGACTAACAACCTTGTCGAACAACCGCAGTTCAACAGGAGTTCGACAGGTACCTATGGAATGGTTTTAGCCAATCAACTTCTATTTTTGCAATTTTTTATTAAAATAATATTATCTCTAAAAAAGTTTCCATTTTTTTTGTCTCTATAGACGATCTGGACTGCTTGACAAAGCAAAGAACTTCATTGAGGAAAACAACATCAATCATGTGGCTTTTGTTTGGATGGGGCTACTGTCAGCTTGCCGATTTCACTAGCACAAGGACTATGCAAATTTGGCTTGTAAAGATTTGCTTCACTTGGAGCAATATGATGCTGGATCCAAGCTATACAAAACTGCATTTTATACATTCAACGGTGACAGATCCAACCATTTACACATTCAACCAGTGACAGATATAAAAGAACTAATACCTGATAGTCATAGACCGACACCACCGGCCTCAAATGCGACCATAACGATAGTGTGCATGACGAGAGAGGAGGACAAAAAAAAAAGGATGGCTCATGGAGGATAACTAGAGGGTGCGATTGCGCATGCAAAGGTGGAGAGGAGGAACGATGGTGGCTCATGGAGAAAGAGCGGTGGAGGTGGTGGTAGGGATGAAAACGGATCGAGTACGGTCGAAAACTAGCTCTAACATATTCGTTTTCATATTTTTTTCTCAGAATTGAAATCGGAATCGGAAACCCGGATACGAAAATGGAATCGAATATTATCGAATACAGACACGGAGCGAATATGAATCGAAACGAATACGGTAATGAATAATTATCAAAATATCAAGACCCCTCAAAATAAGCTTCTTAAAACGAGGAAGAGATATAGCCATTAGTTTTCAAACACAAAACATCAGTATTTTCAAATTTTATCTCTATTTATAAGGGCAAGGGGGAGATAGAAAATGTTATGTTTACTTTCCATACAAATTTATGTTATCATAAAACAAATAAATTAATGTGTATCACTCAAATTTTCGTAGGCACATTGAAATTTTTAAAAATTGGTTGAATATTTTAAATTTTGGGTTGAACATTTCAATTGAAAGTTTTTAAAAATTTGAGTGGTTATTTTTCAGAATTGAATTTTTTCATTTGTTTGTATGTGGACCAGTTAAGAAAGTTTTTAAAAATTTGAGTGGTTATTTTTTAGAATTGAATTTTTTCATTTGTTTCTATGTGGACCAGTTAAGGACCCGCATGGAAAAATTGATTCCATACGGGTGACTTAAGAATCCATATGCAAAAATAAATTTTGAAATTTTGAAACTAATTTATCTCACTCATATGAACTCCAAATTGGATGATTCTTTTCCCTAAATGTTTCTAAAATCATGCTCTATCATGTTATTGTGTTCTTATCTTCTATTATTTTGGCCATTTTTCTCTTGTGACTTTGTTTTATCAATTAAAAATTTGAATTTCTAAACTTCAAATAATATTTTGAAGCTATAATTAATTTCAGCTGAAAAAGTCATGAACATAAAAGTTGTAGAGCTCATCAAGACATACAACTTTTATTTTGGTCATTTCTTCATCCGATAAAGTGATAGTAACATTGTTCACAAAGTTTACTTCTCTCTTATAGTTTATAGAACCAAATAAGATAGATGTAAATTTTATATAAGATAGATGTAAATTTTATGAACAATGTTACTATCACTTTGTCGGATGAAGAAACAACCAAAATAAAAGTTATAGATCTTGATGAGTTATAAAACTTTGTTGTTGATAACTTTTTCAGTTGAAATCATTAATATTTTAAAATATTGTTTGAAGTTGTTATATTTTGAAATTCAAATTCAAACGGTTCAAACAAAGTCATATAGAAAAATGACCAAAATAAAAGTTGTAGATGTTGATGCGTTATACAACTTTGTTATTGACAATTTTTTTCATTTGAAATCATTTACTACCCGAAAAATTATTTGAATTTCTTATATTTTAAATTCAAATTTTATATAGTTTAATCAAACTCGGATGGAGAAATGACCAAAATAAAAATGATAGATCTCAATAAGTTATACAAATTTGTATTTGACAACTTTTTTCATATGGGTTGATTTTGTGCCTTTAAATTCATTTTAAAGAGCCACATGTTAAAAAAAAAAATCGATTTTTACACTGAAAAAAATCCACCATTTTTTTCACCTCAACCTTATCTTCTCTTTGACTCTTCCTCTCTTCTCTCTCACACACTTTCTACTCTCTCTCTCTCTCTCACTTCCTCTCATCCACAGGGCGCAGGGCGGGGCGAGTGGTGGCCGGCCAAGGGCGGTGCACCGCGTGGCGGGTGAAGCATCTAGGCCCCCGGTGTTAATTTTGGTAATTAATGACAAGCGCTAATTGTGGACTAACCGCTAATTGTGCTAATTTTGTTAATTTTGCTAATCCAGGCCGATGGGGCCCTCTGACAGCACTTCAATGGCTAGTTTTCTAGCCGTTGCAGAGTAGCACGGTCTGACCGGCCACATATCTCCGGTCAGACCGGCAGAGCACAAAGTTGGGGGATTTCGCCCCCAAAGGCTAGTTTTGCTGGGTGGGAGTATAAATACTCCCCCACCAGCAGCAAGGGGACCCTCTTGGCATCTAATTCAATTGCATACACCCTTTGCACCTCACTCACACTCACTTGAGCTTTGTGTTCATCCATCTAGTGTGTTAGAGGGTTGATTAGCCAAGAGTCAAGTGCATTTGCTTCCATTGTAGAGCTAGTGTGGCACTTGATCATCTCCACGCCGGGTTATTGCTTGTTACTCTTGGAGGTTGCCGCCTCCTAGACGGTTTGTGGAGAAGTTGCCCGGTGACCTCTCCGAGAAGTTTGTGGAGAAGGCCCGGTGCTGGTTTGTAAGTGGTTTGGAGTTCACCACCTTCGGAGTGAAGGAAGAACTACCCTAGTGATCGAGGCTTGGGTAGTCCTCTCCGTGGGCCAGCTCCCGCCTTGTCCACCCCTTGACGAAGGGGGTGTGCGGTGGCTTCGTGGTTGAGCGGTGGAGTTGGGCTCGCCTCAATGGGGAGTAGGAAACCGGCGAGTTTCCGAACCTTGGTGAAAAATCTCTTGTCTCCCTGTCTCATTTGATTGTCACATTTACATTTGTGCAATTTACATTTCTAGAGACAAACTTGAGATCATATCACCCTAGGATTGCTAAACATTGACATAGGAGTTTGATTTACTTTCCTAGAGATATAATTGAGCCACTATCACCCTAGGTTTGCAAAACATAACTTAGTTGCTTAGTTAGAGTTGACCCTCACCAAGCCTAGCAACTTAGGTTAGTTTTGATTAGGTGTCATTTAGTTTTAAATCGTCTATTCACCCCCCTCTAGTCGACATCTCGATCCTATAGCAGGCGGCGGCGGCGGCGGCGGGCGGCGGCAGCGGGCTTGACTGCCGCGACCTAGGAAGCGGCTGCAGCGACGGCTTCGGTGGGCGGCGACGGCTTCGGATGGGCGGCAGCGGCAGGCGGCGAGGGCGGCGGATCCGGCGGCATCGCCCTCGGGAGGGGCCGGATCCGCTGCCCTAGGAGGTGTTCGGCGCTCGGCCCCGCGACGGCCGGCGGCGGGCGGGCGCAGCAGCGCGGATCTAGCTAGGGTTTCGGGATTTTTTTTGTTTTTTTTTGCTGAAAAATATCTCCGGATATCCGATGAAAAATTCCAGATAGTTTCCGACCGATTTACGATTCCGTCGGATACCACCCTTACTGTTCGTTTTTGTATCCGAGAAAAAACCCGAATTCGTTTCCAAATCCGAGAAATTCCGGATAGTTCCGACCGAATTTTTCTGAATCTGAAAATTGGTCCGGACGGACGGAATCTATCCGAACCAGTTTCATCCCTAGGTGGTGGTGGCGGTGCGTGGAGTGATAGTTAGGCTGTGTAGCACGCAAAACGGAGCACACATAATTGTATGATTAATTAAGTATTAGCTATATTTTTTCAAAAATAGATTAATTTGATTTTTTAAACAACTTTTGTATATAAACTTTTTTTTTTGCAAAAAACGCACAATTTAACAGTTTGAAAAGCGTGAGTGCGGAAAACGAGGGGAGGGGTTGGGAACTTGAAGGAAAGAACACAGCCTTAAGGGTTTATTGTTGACATGATCGCTAACCAAGTTTGTTAATTTTTTATACGTGGGCAACTAGTCATTAGTCATTATAAAGATTATAAAGAAATAGCTAGATTTAAAGTAGTAAAAATATTGAGATAAAGGTGAGAGTACTTGTATTAACTTTTTTTGTCACTTTAGTGATAAATTCTTAATTATTAATAGTAAGTGTGACAAATAGTAAAGGTGGTGTTTGGATCAGGGACTTAATTTTAGTCTCTGTATATAGACACTAATTTAGAGTATTAATTATAGACTACTTACAAAACTAATTACATAATGAAAGCTAATTTGCGAGACAAATTTTTTAAGCCTAATTAATCTATAATTAGAAAACGTTTACTGTAGCATCACAAAGGCTAATCATGGATTAATTAGGCTCAATAGATTCATTTCGCGAATTAGTCCAAGATTATATATTTTATTAATAGTATACGTTTAATATTTATAATTCGTGTCCCGATGTGACACGGCTTAGTCCCATTATTCTCGAGTAGAATATGTCCCTTCCTTAGCGGCGTAAAGAAAGAAATTCGTCTCCTCCGCTCCTAGCGCCGCCGAGTCGCGGCTGAACAGAACAAGGGAGGGAGGGGCGGCGATCTCCATCTGGCGAGCAGAGCAGGGGAGGGGATCCTCGTGAGCATCCACATCCTCTTTCTGATTCATCTCTCTCCCATCGGGACACTTGATATTTCTTGCGTTCTTCGTTAACCCTAGCTTCTCTTCTAGATCTGGAAGAGGCTCTTCTTTTTAATTTCAGAGCCTTAACCTTAATACAAGTAACAGTTTGTTTGTTCCCCGATCCGCCCCTGCTGCTGGTACTTGGGCTATTTGATTCCTGCATAGTTTCAGAGCTAGAGCTAGTGTTGCTCTTTACAGCTTTGGGCGGATTCGCGATGGCGGATGAAGAGTCGTCTGACTTCACCTTTTGCAAGGTTTTATTTATAACTTGCCTCCCTATTGCTTCTATGTTCAGCTACTTGTTATTTCTACAATCAATCAGTCATATTTTTTTTTGACTTATGTATTACTTTCAATTGTGTAATAAATCTGCCGATCTTCTTTGACTGATTTAATCACCTGCTTTTAAGCGCAATCTTGGTTCTGGAGATATTTTCTTGTACAAAGTTCTACCACCACAAATTCTTGGAAGAAGCAATATGTTAGGGATATATTCCACTAACATTATCTTCATTTTTGGCGCTAATATAAACAAATAGGTAGTATCTGACTAACATGGGATGGTACAAACAAGTGAAAAAAATAGATATGAGGAAAAGGAAAAAGGGTAAGATGTAACATAAGAAATCAGGGAGACTGAATGGAAGAGGAAAGAAAGATTCATCTCCGCTGTATAGAAATCTCATATAGTTTGTCCTTGTTGCTGCTGTACCAAGAAATCCACCTTTTGTTGTTGATATACATGAGCTTTAGAATTTCCTATTTCATAAAAAAAAAGCTATGCTGATGTAGTGAGCTTAAGCTAACTAGGTAAGCACAGGGTACCCACTTGTGTATATAGCTCCATTTTCATGAATTATTTGCTACTCCCATTTTATCTGCTTTTCTTCATGGTACTTACATTTTAAATCTGGAATCATGAGTACAAGGGACATATATCTAGATTGTTTGCCATCTTGAATCTACCGGATTTATTAAATTTTCATGGATACTTACTGTCCAAATGGTCTAAATTTAAACTTCCTATGTTGATTATATAATGACCATATTCTTTTACAAACAATTGAAACAAATCTTCAGTGACTTGATATGGTAACTTGCTGATGTTATTCTACTTATGTTTTTGTTGTGTAGATGTAACAAATTCTATATTCAATTTTGTTTTCTAGATCGATTTTGAGGGAGATGGTGGTCTGGAGTTCCCTAAAGCTATCCCTGTGGCAAGTACACCTGGTGATGCTGGTGCAGATAACTTAAAGACTAAGAAGATCGAAGGCAACATGCAGGCAAACAATTCAATTAAAGATCAAACATCTAATTCTATATCTAGTAGCATCAATCGTGTATCACTCGAAGACTCTAATGGAAAAGAGTCAGTTCTTAGCAGAGAGAATACACAGTCAAATTTATCATCTCAACCAAAATCTTCAAAGAAACCTGCAGCGCGTGCAAAAGTTCCTTTCGAGAAGGGCTATAGCCAAATGGATTGGCTTAAGCTGACCCGTACACATCCTGATCTTGCAGGTAAATTGTAGCTGCTACTGTTTCTTCATCTCTGTATGTATGATTATTACTGGATGGCTAGTGTACATTTGAAAACTTTCTTAGTTAATGTATTGTTACTGTCTGAGGCACTATAATCATGACAACTCAGGATATCTTAATATGGTCATAGTTACCATAGGAAAAACACAAGCTTAAGAGTACACACAATTTTTGGTTTCATTGTTGGATAGGTGAGGTCAAATGAATGAGTTTGCAGACTAGTATGCACCATGTTAAATGTCTTCAAAAGGTCCTGAACTACATTTTCTACTATATCAGCTTTCGTTTTTCATGTGGCATTATCAAAACTGATGAGGTCAGAAAAGAAGAGGGGGGGGGGGTATATTTTTTGGGTAATTTGTTTCTAGCTAATACCTCATGGACCTAAGAATTGGTTTGAACTTCTAGCTATTCATAAGACAAAATGTCATTTAATTAATTAATTGTGGTATGAACAAAAATATTATGTATTTCATCCTCAGATAATCCATAGTGATTTTTTTTCTATACCATTAGGATTCGTACATTATTTAAGATACAGGATTCCTGCTTGTGAGATCCTTTAGTCATTAGTCACTGGATTGCATTTTAGATTTGGTATGCAAAGGTGAGAAAAGGAAATACAGGTGGGGGATGCACAATTTCAGCATTTAGGGGAAGAGCGCGTGAACAGTGGCAAAATCTGAAGAAGTTTGTGATTCCAGCGGCATTGAACAAAGAATGCAAAAAGCAGTGCCAAGTACCAATGGTGTAGACTGATGTTTTCCTAATTTAAAGCATAAATGATTATCTACAGATGTTGAAATCTGAAAATGTAAATGCAATTTTATTATTTGTGACTGGAGCATCGCCCGTGAGCTATCCACCTTTTTTGAATATAACTGCAAAGGGGGAAAATATGTTGGTGTGTCTTGCGCCTGTCTATCAGCTGTAATTCATGAACCTGTTTATGCTTGACTGAAGCATATGCGTCCACTGTTGTTAATATTTTTATTTTACTCCTTTTTTAACTGTGTGTTACTTGTAATGAATTGATGTTTGCTGGTGAAATAATACCGATTTCCTTTCATTTGGTGTGGCATTTTTATAGGGCTCAAGGGGCAGTTAAACCGAAGGTTGATTTCTCTAGAAGAAGTTAAACAGCATAAAACAGGAGATAGTATTTGGACTGTTTTGAAAGGTCGTGTGTACAACATTGCTCCGTACATGAAATTTCATCCGGGAGGTAACCATAAGTTTTAACCTGATGTGGAATACTTGTTTCAGTTCTTTTCGTAGCTGCTGTTCACCTTCACAATTTCTGCAGACTTCAGAGTGCTATATGCTTCTATTTTATGTGTAACAAGTACTTTTATGGGCATTTGCAGGAGTTGATATGCTTATGAAGGCTGCTGGAAAAGACTCGACCGCTCTGTTCAGTATCCTTCTATTATTATTGTTCAAACATACTTTTAAAGTTGCCTGCTGCCTGTCGTAGAATTTCAACTGAGTTTTAGTTAGAATCAAAATATGCTTTGACATGCATGTTTGCATGCTAACTATACTCATGCATGCTTTGTTCATTATATTAGGTCGACTGTTCTGTGCTTATTGTGACCGTTGAACTTATGTGCACCTTGAGGCTAGCTAGCTGTCATATCTGCAGGGAGGTTTTGTCCATGAATATATAATTCTTGATATGGTTCCTTCACTCCCCTATAGACAAATATCATGCATGGGTAAATTTTGAATTCCTCCTGGAGAAGTGCCTTGTTGGATTCCTCGATCCCAATGAGTAGATGCGCCATTGAGCCTGAGGCCAGAACTCCACTTCCTCTTTCTTGTCCGCGACACTAGTCCCTGATGCGTATCCATCACATGGAGACAGTTTAAGGAATGTAAACAAGTGTTTTGCTTCATTGCTAAGGAGATATAGATGCTGCTTAACATTTTAGAAAAAAAAGAAAAGTTAGAAACTTGATCACCATTGTTATGTACAAATTCCTTCACCATTGATTGCTGAAGAAAACAAAGAACATTTCCATCCATATGAATGTAATGTCAAGAAGATACATGTGTTTTAGATGAAGGGATACTGTGGTGCTGTTTTGGCTCTTTGCAGCCAACACATAGTGCTCTGTTTCTTTCACATTACAAGACGTTTTGGGCTCATGCATATATTGATATATGTGCTTCATATATTTATCCCATATGAGTGTATGACCAGATCCGAGAAACCCAAGCGCACCATCGTCGTCCATCCGCCAGGCGATATTCCTAACGACGCCATCCAGATTCCGCACGGAGATGCGACCTCTCCACCGGCCGGAAAGCACGCTGTTGCCGTCGTCGCCGGTCTAGGGACCGCTGTTAGGATCGACCTGATCTGATGCGATCGATCCCAAAATATTCAGCGAAATTCAGAACTTGGCTGGAAGCTACCTATTAGGAATCCTAACACGGCAAGGAATTGAAATAACTGCTGAAATTAACTTGATTAACGAAATATATGAGTAGGCCGCAAGAACAGAAAAATGGAATAAAAACTATGATTTTGATCTTCGATATAGTTCTAAAATAACACATTGGCTTATATTGAGTATATCACGAGTAAAAGACAAAAAGTGACGCCTATAGTACCGTAAGGATACACACTGCAGTCTATCTCGGTGCTCTTGAGCAACACAATCTTCATAGAATCTCCCCTCCATCTGTTATATTTAAATCTCAGCCATCCAACCAATATTAGCATCCTCCTCTGCTTCCTCAGTATTTTGGAACTCTAAAACTCTAAAGAATCAAGTGCTCTCTATCTTCATGTGCCTCTCAACCACACCCCAGTCGTGTCGGTCTTAGCCTCTATGCTTCACGACTACACCTCCCATGTATCCGTCGTTCCTCGATGTTGGTGCCTTTATCAACCGACCCCGCCTTCCCAAAACCACCACTTTTGCTGCTCGTCACTATCAACCTTTAAATTCTACCCCTTCCCTTGTCATAATGAAGTTGTAGGAGGATAGCAGCAGAAGGTAGCGGTGAGGTAACAGGAGGTGGCAACGGAGCTGCAAATAACAAGACAACGGTGGGAGCTATAGGATCTGGCGCCCCCTTGGCCAGATCTGACATCCTCCCGACAAGATCTGGGGCCTCTCCACCAAGGGAGACTAGTTGAGGTGGCTCTCAACGATAATGGTGGGCACAGTGTGGTGGCCTACAGCAACGCAGGTGCAGTGGTGAGACAACGTTGGTGCCCTCGCTATGGGTGGGGACTAACCGGCGATCGGACATGACGTGGTCCGAGAGAAGGCTATCCATCCGATGAGGATGACTAACGGACTGGAGGTAGAGCCCTTGTGGGAAGGCGGCAAGAGGCGTGGGGATGGCTGCGTGCTAGCAGTATGTTGCTGGTGTTTTGAAGGCGATGGAGCTGCAACATCAAGGTTGAGGGAAGGTTGGTGCCAGGCGAAAGTCTTGTCTGATGGTAGTCAGGACACAATAATTGTGACGCTGCAGGCAACACGAATCCCCTCGGGGTGTTGTCGTGGTTGTAGGATCGAAGGCATCTTAGAGGGGAGGGGGTTGAATAGGATTCCTAGGAGACTTGGCTGAATTTAAACTTAAATTTCAGAAGATAAAAACTAACCAATATGCCTAGGTTTAAGACTACTGTGGCCCATTGTTTAAAATTAAAGCTAGAACTCCTAACAGTTCTAGAGCAAAATAAATATTGAAAGGAACAAGAAACTCAACATAAAGAGAAGAAAGTTCAAACAAAAGACTTGGCATGTTTTAACCGAGGTATCAGATATTCAACAATCTCTACTAATCGTCATTGGAAATCTACACAAGAGTATAGCTCCCTCCCAAGGCCATGAAGTCCATGGGCGCTCTCATCATTGTGGTTCTTCTCCACTCCTGAAGGTGAACCCCGAAACCTTCACCATCACGCCGAGTCTCCCACAATCATCTTGAGACATCACTGGCTAGGCACGCTAAGATGCCAAGAGTAACAGGAAGAAGTCTTCACTTGAAGCCCTTAAGAACAAGGCCTAAACGAGTAAAGAAAATTATCACAGATAGCTGAATGGCGCTCTTGGACTCTCCCTTAGGTTGCTTAGCTCAATAGAGTTCCAAAAGGCACTAGGTAGTCTAAGGCAAGAGGTATTTATAGCCTTAATCGAGCTCATTAGCTGTTTGCTACCATTGGCAAAAACCAGCTGAAGTTACATAGGATCGGACAATCTGGTACTAGACGGCCCTTTATACTTTCCAATAGTAACAAGGCATATAGCCGTTGGGCTATAAACTGTCGGGCAATCCAGAAACACGCCACGTTCAAAATCAATATCTGGTAGTAGCCGGACAAACATGTGTCCAAATTGTTCGACAATGTGTCAGAATGTCAAACAATTGCTAGATCAGCTTGATTATCTATCGGATAATCTGGCTAGTTCATTTACACTGTCCGACCAACATATGACCACAGTTGGACAACGAACTAGCCAGAAAATCCGACACTGCACCGGATTGTCCGGTCAAGTTACTCTAGCGACTTGAACAAGTACTATCTCGGATTGTTCGACACAACTTGGACTATTAAACTTGTACATGTTCAGGGTTGTAGGAAGACCTGCACACTGACAATTGTCTGAGGTTTTTACCCACTTGATTTGAGAGGCCACAACTTAGTATGCACCACACCTTAAACTCTAGCATTTCCCAAAAACTTCAAGCTACTAGTTTTCAACCCCTCTTTATAGCAGTCTTTAACTTAATTCTACTACATTTGTCCCAACTCCTCAAATACATTACCGATGTTTCAGTTGCAGTAGTATGATCTCGTTGATCTTATCTTGACTGTCTTTTTTGGGTATAGGCAAAACGTCCACACTTCCATCGCCGGAGCCCTAATCTTTTTTTAATACTTAACAACTGAGATTAGTTTTCATGATTATATTGTCATTAACCACCAAAACATCACATGGGGTCTAGATTCTTTTAGAGGTGCCCCTCCTTCCTTCACCAATGGATTTCTCTATGTTAAAATCTTATCCAAGAGTCCTTGAGCAGCGGTGGTACTCTAGCGTCTCAACCTCCTATGACACCCTGTGTCAATTAGGATGTGACTTGTGTGGTCCATAAAAGCTATGTGCGCATGTTTAGTACAGCGTTGCTAGTTTAGCAAGGGTGAAACCAATATATAAGGGCTTGTTCCTCCAACCATAGCACTTTCGGGTTAACCGTTTTACATGAAGCGAAGACGAAAGTGTAAGTGGGTGGTATATGTAAGTGAGCCCGCTCTTTAGATGAGCTGGGCTACACGGTTCTGGTTGACGGGTTGTTACATCTCCTTGGAGGCATCGTCTTTGGAGATCCCCTTTGCCTTTCCGCTTTGAACTGTTGGTCCTGGACTGCTCTGGCGCTCTTTGTTTGTCATGATGGGGTGGGTATGTGTGCGGGAAGAGTGGATCTTATTCTCTGCGGCTCTCTTCCTCCTCAACCCAAGATGTTTGGTGATCAACTGCCTAGCAAGGTTGATGTTGTTTAGGCGATTGCAATTGCTCATGTCTTCATGTTGGTGATGGGTCTGTATGAGGGACGAGCGGATCTTTCTTCTCTCTCATGTTCTCCCTATGCAATCCAATTTTGGGATGTTAATTGGGAGCCCATGCACCATTTTAGTGTTTTGACTTTGTCGGTATTCAGTGGAGTGGCTATGTTGTAGGCTAGTGGTGACCGGGTCTTACATAGCGGCAGTCAGCTTGATGCTAGGTTTCTTGCGTAGCGTTGTCAGCGCATGGTTAAGCTAGCTGAGTTTTTTTTTTTTCCTGTCTTCTTCTCTTTTTTTTTTGGAACTTCTGTCTTCTTCTTTTAGTTTTCTTTGTGATTATAACCTCTCTCAGGGCTCTAGTCTTATACTACTTTTTTTCTCTACTATATTAATAAAACATTGCACCATCTAGTGTTGTTCATTTTTTAAACAAGACAATTAGTATAAGACATCGTTTTCCAAGATTCAATATGATATGTTTATGTTGTAGATTTAGAGTTTCCTATATTGCAACGCATCAATATTTTTCTAGTATATATTATAAATATCAAAATTTTAATCATATGTTGATGTTATTTTTTTTATCATGGACATAGGTTAAAATAAATATCAAGCTGAAATATTCCCATAATTCATAAATACAAAGAAATTTGATTGCGAGGTGATTGATGGGACATGTAACATTGTACAAATGCTTATAATATATGGACATAGTGCTTATAAATTTCAAATATTTGAACTAAGTTAACAAAATACTAAATTAAAAGTACAATATCTTTCTAATCAATATACTCGGTGGTCAGATCCTTCTATTTATCGTCAAATTTTTCTTAAAGTGAATTTGGTCAAATAGCACAGTTAAATAGATCATATATACAACAGCAAATACCAGTTGTTTCTGGTCAATTCGCAAGATAAAGTTATAATTCATACCGATAACAATGTAATTCTCTGCAATCTGGGTCGTAGCAATAGCGGAAGAAGAGCAACAGATTTGGACACTTGCAAACCGACACGGTGACTGGTAACGAACCGCCTGCGAAAATCGTCTCGACAAACAAAAAAAAGATTGCCGCCACCCCCACCCGTGCCCCTACCCACCTCCGGCCGATCTAGGGTTAGGGAGAGGGAGAGGAAGGGCCGATCTACTGCAGGGGCGCCGCTGCCCCCGCCGGGGTGGGGGCGGATCTGGGAGGGAGGGGAACCGCTGCCGCCCTCCCCCAGACTCCCTCTAGCTGGATCTGGGAGGGAGGCGAACCACCGCTGCCGCCACAGGTCCTCCCCCCTCTCCCCTCGGCCGGATCTGGGAGGGAGCCAAGCGGCCCCGAGTATCACCGTCGCCGTCGCCGTTTGCTGCCCCGACCTGCGTCTCGCTGGTGCCGCCGCCGACCCCGCGCCTCTCCGTCGCGTGTGGATCCCGCTGCCCCTGCTCGTCGCCAGTCGCTGGTTCCCCCGCCGCCTGTCGCTGTGAGGGATCTGAGGGAGAGAGAGGTGAGGGAGAGGAGAAGTGAGGGAGAGAATGCTGAGGACTTAGAAAAAAAATCTTCTCCAGCCTTGTCTATTTATATTCCACACTCATTTTTGTAGGTGGACCACATAAGAGGTTTGCCTTCAAAAATAAAGAGTATTTTTGCAGGCGGACAGCGAGATTTAACCCGGTTTACATTTTTGTAGGCGATCATTTGGGCCCGAAGGTTATATCCGCCTGCGAAAAATAAATACGTACCCAACGTCGGCGCGAAAATGCTTTTTCTAGTAGTGGTGATACATCTCCCTAGCAGGTTAGGAAGGACTTTAATCCATTCCTAATTCCTGATCGTTGATTGCTAGTAAAGTTGTATATATATGCATTTAATAGTTAATATTACATGTGCATGTAAAATCTCATCTTCAAACTCATCACACGTATGAAAAGAAAATTATATTGTTACGGTTAAAATATAATTTACCCAATTTAGGCTAAAACTTTACAGAGGTATAATAATATTAGAAGTACATGTACATTTTTTAAAGTATGCATAAATAATTATATTATATTTTGAAACCGATGGAGTATTTTGTATCAAACCTTTTTATCCATTTAAAATGGACACTTATCCTTTCAGCAATGTTGAGATAGACAATAGTGGATTTCATGTTTGTGATCTTATATACAGCTTTCGGCCTTCACCGAGAGGTGAAAATTTCTCGTAAACTTCCACATACAAGTTTTACAGTATAAATTAATTTGGTTCCTAATGAAGTCTTATAACTTTATGCATTCCAATGGTAGCTAGGACTTTCCGGGTTCGAACAGAGATGAAAATTTCAAATAAACTTCAAAAAGAAAATCATATAAATTGGTTGTTAGATTAATGTGCTATACCCAATTAAATCCTAATAAATTCCATTGGCCCACATTAAGTGCTATGGGTAATAACACCACCTTGCAAATCTGAGTGCAGAGGTCTCAACTTAAATACGGAGCTAGTGGAGAGTCTCTGTTGACCGGTTGAGATGGTGCGCGGACAACCAGGCGGGGCGAGGCGAGGCGAGGCAGACAGCAGCTGCTGCTGCGCTCTCTCGTTTTGTAACGGACGGTAATAAACACGGAGAATTGATTTCGTATCAATGATTCCGTCAGTTACGGAATTAAACGTCGTGAATTGATTCCGTCGGTTATGGAATTAAACGCCGTGAATTGATTCCGTATTAACGAGCGCGTCGGTTACGAAATTAAACACCGCAGTTGATGACTCCGAACGTTACTCTCGCGCCTGCATATATATACTCCGCAGCAACCAGAAGGACGGACGAAGTTCTTCACGACTATTGCACTTCGAGTTCCTCCTCCTCTGTTCCTGAGCTGCAGAATCCTTCCCCGGTTCTGTTCACCTGCGCGCACAGGTGTACGGGACGAGCAGGTGCCTCCGGAACTCCGTCCGCTTGAGAACTTGCACGGGTAGGCGGGCGATCAAGTTTTTTGGTAGCGCTTCAAGCGCGACTGCTCTTGTTCTTCGCGGCTACTGCTGCTGCATCGGCGCCTTCACCAAGATGTCAACGGAGATTGGAGACAATAAGATGAACGACATCAACGGAGGCAATACTGCCTCAAATCCAGCGATGGGACGTTCTCGGGGTATACTTTCATTCTCCCGATTCTATTAGAAGTTTCTTTGTTAATACTCTTCGCAATGGTAGCATTGCGTTACTATGTAAATGTTGATGCTTATTTCATATTAAGCATACTCAAGTTGTATACATTTAGCACTGTCACTAGATCTACTAATATTGCAAATGTCATGTTTATTGTCTTAATATTTTGGATTAAAATATGCCGAATTATGACCAAATTTCCAACAATCCAAAAACTTGATGGGTCTTTTTTGGTAGTTGGCTTTGCTGCATCACTAAAACCACGTGCTTTCGATGGTTCAAATTATAAAAGATGGAAAGCGCGTGCACTTTTGTGGTTGACGGTGATGCATTGTTTCTTTGTCTCATGGGGCAAACCGAGTGAACCGCCTCTCTCTCCTGAGGAGGAGGCTAAGTTCGAGGCTACGGATTGCTTGTTCCGTGGAGCATTGATCAGTGTGCTCGCCGATAATATTGTGGATGTGTATATGCACATACCTTTAGGGAAGGACATGTGGGATGCTCTTGAGGTCAAGTTCGGGGTTTCCGACGCCGGCAGCGAGCTGTATGTCATGGAGCAGTTCTATGACTACAAGATGGTCGATTACCGTTCTGTAGTGGAACAGGCTTATGAGATTCAGATGCTGGTAAAGGAACTTGAGAACAACAACTGCGAGTTGCCGGACAAGTTTGTGGCTGGAGGCATTATTGCCAAATTGCCACCTTCTTGGTCGGACTTTGCTACTTCTCTAAAACACAAGAGGCAAAAGTTCAGTGTTACTGATCTCATTGGCTCTTTGGGTATTGAGGAGAAGGTGAGGGCAAAGGACAACCAGGGCAAAAAGATCGAGGGAGGTTCTAGCGCTAATTTGGTGCAGAAGAAGAACACTCACGCATCCCACAACAACAACAAGAAAGTCAAACCTGACATCAAATCCAAGGCTACAACCAATTTTAAGAAGAAAGGCAAAGGAAAGGCAAAAGGAGATTGCTTTGTGTGTGGCAAGCCTGGGCATTGGGCCAAGGATTGTCCTGAGCGCAAGGACAAGAAGTCTGCAAACATGGTTATTAGTGAGGGCGGAGGAACATTGTGGTATGATAAATTTTTAGCAACAGTTCTCTCTGTCTGTCACTCACCTGATTGGTGGGTTGATACTGGTGCTAATATTCATGTGTGTGCGGACATTTCCCTGTTTTCTTCTTATCAAGTCGGGAGAGGTTCCTCCTAGTTGAAGGGAAACGGATCACTTGCGGCTGTTCATGGTGTTGGTACGGTCGATCTGAAGTTTACTTCGAGAAAGATCGTGCAGCTGAAGAACGTGCAACATGTCCCTTCAATAAAGAAGAATCTAGTTAGCGGCTCTCTACTATGTAGAGATGGTTTTAGACTTGTGTTTGAATCCAATAAATGTGTCGTATCTAAATATGGAACGTTTATTGGAAAAGGTTATGACAGCGGAGGTTTGTTTCGCTTTTCCTTGGATGATATGTTTAATAAAGTTGTGAACCATGTAAGCGATGATGATGATGAGTCCAATGTGTGGCATTTGTGACTTTGTCATGTGAATTTTGGTTGTATGACACGCTTAGCCAATATGAGTTTAATTCCAAAATTCACTTTAGTCAAAGGCTCTAAGTGCCATACTTGTGTTCAATCGAAACAACCTCGCAAGCCTCACAAGGCATCTGAGGCGAGGAATTTGGCACCACTAAAACTTGTTCATTCCGATCTGTGCGAAATGAACGACGTGTTGACTAAAGGGGGAAAGAAATATTTCATGACACTGATAGATGATTGCACTAGATTTTGCTATGTGTACTTATTGAAAACAAAGGATGAAGCACTGCATTACTTTAAGATCTATAAGGCTGAGGTAGAAAACCAACTGGAAAGGAAAATCAAACGGTTGAGGTCTGGTAGGGGTGGAGAGTATTTTTCCAATGAATTTACTTCTTTCTGTGAAGAGTTTGGAATTATTCATGAAAGGACACCTCCCTATTCACCCCAGTTAAACGGGGTAGCCGAAAGAAAGAACTGCACTCTAACTGAGATGGTGAATGCCATGTTAGACACTACAGGACTTTCCAAGGAATGGTGGGGTGAGGCAATATTGACTGCGTGTCATGTCCTGAATAGAATTCCTACTAAGCATAAGGAAGTAACACCATTCGAGGAATGGGAAAGAAAGAAATTAAATCTCTCTCACCTGCGCACATGGGGCTGTTTGGCCAAGGTAAATATACCTATAGCCAAAAAGCATAAATTTGGACCAAAGACCGTAGATTGTGTGTTCCTTGGTTATGCTATCCACAGTGTGGGACATAGGTTCTTAATAGTAAATTCTGGAGTACCCGACATGCGTGTTGGTACAATTACTGAGTTCAGAGATGCCACATTTTTTGAGAATGAATTTCCTGTGAAAAATGCACATAGCACTTCTAGTCAAGAACCTATTTTATCCCCTGAGCACTTTATGCCGATAGAACACATTGATCAAACGCTTGAGGAAAATCCTGAGGAGGATAACATTGTGGCAACTCGAAAGAGTAAGAGACAAAGGACTGCAAAGTCTTTTGGAGATGACTATATTGTATATCTTGTGGATGATACTCCAAGAACCATTGAAGAGGCATATTCATCTCCTGATGTGACTATTGGAAAGGAAAGAAGCGGTACGCGGTGAGATGGACTCAATTATGTCTAATGGTACTTGGGAAGTTGTCGAGCGTCCATATGGGTACAAGCCTGTAGGATGCAAATGGGTTTTCAAGAAAAAGCTTAGGCCTGATGGTACAATTGAAAAGTACAAGGTAAGGCTTGTGGCCAAGGGTTATACCCAAAAGAAGGCGAGGATTTTTTTTCGACACTTATTCACCTGTTGCTCGCTTGACCACGATTCGAGTCCTACTCGCTCTGTCAGCCTCTCATGGTCTACTCGTCCATCAGATGGATGTTAAGACAGCTTTCCTCAATGGAGAGTTGGAGGAGGAGATCTATATGGATCAACCAGATGGGTATGTACTAGAAGGTCAGGAGGGAATGGTGTGCAAGCTGTTGAAGTCCTTATATGGTCTCAAACAAGCGCCTAAGCAATGGCATGAGAAGTTTGACAATACACTTACATCTGTTGGCTTTGTTGTGAAAGAAGCTGACAAATGTGTGTACTATCGCTATGGTGGGGGAGAGGGAGTGATCTTGTGTTTATATGTCGATGACATATTGATCTTTGGGAACAGCCTCAATGTGATTGAGGAGGTCAAGGACTTTCTGTCCAAAAGCTTTAAAATGAAGGATTTGGGAGTGGCTGATGTTATTCTTAACATTAAACTACTGAGAGGAGATGAGGGTGAGATTACACTTGTGCAATCTCACTATGTGGACAAAGTCTTGAGTCGCTTTGGTTATAGTGACTGCAAGGCAGCTCCTACTCCTTATGATCCTAGTGTGCTATTAAGGAAAAACCGAAGAATAGCAAGGGATCAATTGAGATACTCCCAGATCATTGGTTCATTGATGTACTTAGCTAGTGCAACGAGGCCTGACATCTCATTTGCTGTGAGCAAGTTGAGCCAGTTTGTTTCAAATCCGGGAGATGATCATTGGCATGCTCTTGAAAGAGTAATACACTATCTAAAAGGGACAATGAGCTATGGAATTCACTATGCCGGGTACCCAAAAGTGCTGGAGGGCTATAGTGATTCAAACTGGATATCTGATGCTGATAAGATAAAGGCCACAAGAGGGTATGTGTTCACACTTGGAGGTGGCGCTGTTTCCTGGAAGTCTTGCAAGCAGACCATCTTAACGAGGTCAACAATGGAAGCAGAGCTCACAGCTTTAGATACTGCCACAGTTGAGGCCGAACGGCTTCGTGAGCTCCTGATGGACTTGCTGGTGGTTGAAAAACCAGTACCGGCAATCCTGATGAACTGTGATAATCAAACAGTGATTATTAAAGTGAACAGTTCGAAGGACAACATGAAGTCATCCAGGCATGTTAAAAGAAGACTGAAGTCTGTCAGTAAGCAGAAAAACTCCGGAGTGATAGCATTGGACTATGTCCAGACGGCTAAAAATCTGGCAGATCAGTTTACCAAGGGGCTACCACGTAATGTGATAGACTGTGCATCGAGGGAGATGGGCTTGAGACCCACTTAGAGTTGCACAATGGTGGAAACCTGTCCATTGTGATCGCAGATCCCGTGAATTTGGATGGTGAAACAAACTATTGTGTAACTGAGAGAAGAGACCCTAAAATGGGCTTATCTTCATGATGCACTTCTCTTCTAATCTGTATGGTAGTATGGTATACACCTTAATGTGATCCGAGTGGCTTTTCATAAAGCAGAGATGTTGGCCTACATAACATCTTAGAAGGAACACACCTATATGAGTCCGACTGCTAGTCACAGTCTATGAGATCTGGGTGATATCTAGATACTCATGAAAAGGCCAGGAGTATGACTTATACGCTCCAAATAGAGGGGATGCAAACGGCAGCCTAGTACCAGTTAAGGGTTTGAGTGAAACCTGAATCGCATAAGACTGACAATTCAAGTCATAGTCCATTGTTTAGTTGTGATCTGGTGTAGCTCTTTTCCTAGGTGGAAGTTCAACTTAACAGTCTCCACCGAAACACTGGTATAACAAACAGGATCAGAACCGAGAGCATTTCCTGTGAGCCATGAAATTTGGTGGGGATTGTTAGATTAATGGGCTAGGCCCAATTAAATCCTAATAAATTCCATTGGCCCACATTAAGTGCTATGGGTAATAACACCACCTTGGAAATCTAAGTGAAGAGGTCTCAACTTAAATACAGAGCTAGTGGAGAGTCTCTGTAGACCGGTTGAGATGGTGCGCGGACAACCAGGCGGGGCGAGGCGAGGCGAGGCAGACAACAGCAGCTGCTGCGCTCTCTCGTTTTGTAACGGACGGTAATAAACATGGAGAATTGATTTCGTATCAATGAACGCGTCGGTTACGGAATTAAACGTCGTGAATTGATTCTGTCGGTTATGGAATTAAACGCCGTGAATTGATTCCGTATTAACGAGCGCGTCGGTTATGAAATTAAACACCGCGGTTGATGACTCTGAACGTTACTCTCGCGCTCGCATATATATACTCCGCAGCGACCAGAAGGACGGACGAAGTTCTTCACGACTATTGCACTTCGAGTTCCTCCTCCTCTGTTCCTGAGCTGCAGAATCATTCCCCGGTTCTGTTCACCTGCGCGCATAGGTGTACGGGACAAGCAGGTGCCTCCGGAACTCCGTCCGCTTGAGAACTTGCACGGGTAGGCGGGCGATCAAGTTTTTGGTAGCGCTTCAAGCGCGACTGCTCTTGTTCTTCGCGGCTACTGCTGCTGCATCGGCGCCTTCACCAAGATGTCAACGGAGATTGGAGACAAGAAGATGAACGACATCAACGGAGGCAATACTGCCTCAAAATCCAGCGGTGGGACGTTCTCGAGGTATACTTTCATTCTCCCGATTCTATTAGATGTTTCTTTGTTAATACTCTTCGCAATGGTAGCATTGCGTTACTATGTAAATGTTAATGCTTATTTCATATTAAGCATACTCAAGTTGTATACATTTATCACTGTCACTATATCTACTCATATTGCAAATGTCATGTTTATTGTCTTAATATTTTGGAGTAAAATATGCCGAATTATGACCAAATTTCCAACATTGGTCTCATTCCAACTACAGTCTAAAAATTAATTGATTCGAATGGTAGAGCTTTCGGCCTTCATCGACCTGTGAAAAAAAATTCAGATGAAGTTAGAAAAAAAGGTCATATGAAAGTTCCTTATATTCCAATCATCTCATGATAAGGTTAGTCAGTCTTGGTAGTCCATCTTTAAAAAGGATCCTCTGACTTAACATATACTCCCTCCGTCCATATAAAAAAGAGAAACCCTGAATTTCCGTGTTCAACATTTGACCGTCCGTCTTATTTGAAAAAAATATAAAAAAAATTAAAAAGACAAGTCACGTATAAAGTATTAATCATGTTTTATCATCTAACAATAATGAAAATACTAATTATAAAAAATTCATATAAGACGGACAGTCAAACATTGGACACGGAAATCCAGGGTTTGTTTTTTTTTTTAAGGGCGGAGGGAGTACGCGGTTGAGCCACTGTCACGTAGGCTGTAGCAAAGCGAGATTCATGTGTGTCAGTGAGTTAGCTGTACATGCAGTTAGGAGGATGAACTTTCTCCGTCTTTATACCTGTGAAGAAGAGCAGAGGAAGGAATCGAAATCAATACGATCTCACGGTCTCTCACTGTTGGCTACTTGTACAGTTCCAACTCCACTAACTCAACTGGTTAGAATATTTGACAGAATAACGCGTGGCTAAGTCGTCGATCGGATCTGGAAAACCAATGTCCGTAGGCCGGTAGTTCTACAACTAAAATTTTCAGTTCGGTCAGGTGACATCACTGTTAGCATAACAACGAAAATTCAATAGCATAACACAATGAAATTCAATAGCATATAACACAATGAAATCAAGTAGCATGTGCCTGAGCGCATGTTTGTCATTTGGAAGCCCTTAAGCCCTAGTGCAGCATTTACTGTACCACCTCCGTATCATAGTATATAACTACCTCTTCTATTGAATAGTTACATTGTGCGTCTTAATAGTAATGTTGAATTAAAAGCATAAGTTGGCAAAATTACTTCTGAAAACGATCGAGCAGGCCGCGCGAAATCGTTTAACGATTTTCGTACAACTTGGGAGAAATGGAAAATTCTGAGCAGGAAATGCGGATGCATATTTTTAAACAGATGGAAAGGTGCCAGTAGAAGTATTATGAATTTCGTCCCTCTGGGAAACTAGTTTAATATTCTTCGCATTTAATTTTGTTATAGGATATCATGACTTCGTGGAATCTAATATTTTATAACAGATTTGCTAGAAAACTACCACAAGTTTTTTTCTCCCAAAACTTTCAGATTTGTGACCATTGGATCGCCAAGAAATTTGTGCATGAAGGAAAAAAATGCTAAAAGTTTTTCCACAGATGTCATACGTAAGATCCTAGTGTGAACTAACCAAACCATAATTGAATGTAAGTTTTATATAAGTTATATCACAGTTACATTACAGTTACAATACCGTCATAATGCAATGTAGTTATAATGTAATTATACTTCAATTATGCTATATTTACATCTAAAAATTTTTGACTCAAAAAACCTACAGCAGTTTTTAGAGATACTCCCCTGTAATAATGAATGTAGTGTCCAACTGCAAATAACGATATTTTAAAAGTGTATTACCTCAAAGATTGATTTTTACCGGCTAAAATCGCGAAGTCGTAATGTCCTAAAACAAAGTTTGCCCAACATTAGCAAAAGAAAAATGGGAGAGGTATTAGCATAAAGTATTTAAGTACTACCATAACAACGAAATTCAATGGCATAACACAGTGAAATCAAGGCCTAAAGGGAAGAGATTAATTCGTAACAAAATATAACCAAAAGACATAATATTTACTCCTTTAAATGTTCCTTGGGGTGGTGGTGGACGTGGTGAGGCACTCACTGATATTTGGGCCCCACAAAACTAGCTCAGTAAACAAAAGTGTTCTATGGAATTTCACCGCATCTTCCTCCCTCTGTCTTTCGATTTGTACTGGTCCACTTAAATTACTGAGTCATTTTCGTTCTACTGAAACTGTCTCGTTTAGGGGGTGTAAAATTTTAGCGTGTCACATCAGGTATTATATAAGTTGTCGTATGAGGTGTTCGGCCACTAATAACAAAACTAATTACAAAATCCGTCAGTAAACTGCGAGACGAATTTATTAAGCCTATCTAATTCGTCATTAGCAAATGTTTACTGTAACACCATATTGTCAAATTATGGAGCAATTAGGTTATGCAATTAGTTACTTTTTTAGCCTATATTTAATACTTCTTGCAGGTGTTCCAACGCTCGATGTGACAGGGCCTTGGTACTATGCAAAAACATTGTCGTGACGAACGAGGCACCTACCAAACAGTATTTTCTCCGTTTCACAATGTAAGTCATTCTAGCATTTTCCATATATATATTAACATCAATATGTATGTGGGAAATGCTAGAATGATTTACATTGTGAAACGGAGGGAGTACTATTTAATAGCATTCATCCAGGCAATGCTCCATGCATCACAATTCACAAATTGAATGAGTTGATCACACCCATACTAGCACGCAACAACATGATGATGCCGCTCGTTGCCCTCCTCCTGATCTCTTCCCCAAAGCTGTTGGCAGCCCAACAGCAGCTACCCTTCTGCAGCAGCAGCAGCAGCAACGCGAACACCCTCGCCTACATGGCAGAGGGCACCTACAAGACCAACCTGCTCAACCTCGCCAAAGACCTGATCGCCAATGTCACCAAGACGGGGTCGCACTCGGCCGCCGGCGCCACGGCTGGGACGACAGGTCCCGACATCGTCTACGGCGCCGTACTCTGCCGGGGAGACTCCACCAACTGCAGCAGCCGCTTACAGAGAGTGCTCGACACAGCCAGCATCAGTAATAATGGATCTACCAGTAGTGAGAGTGACTCCCAGTCCCAGTCGCACAAGAGTACTGTAACCTTGTACGACCATGAGTTCCAGGCGCTGCTAAGCTTCTCTGACACGGACTTCATCTCCAGCTTCAGCAACGCGCCGGCGTGCATAGTGAGCAATTACCTGAACCCTGCTGTCCCTCAGAGGGATGCTGATCGCACGCGGTTCAGCGAGCTTTTCTCTGAGCTCATGGAGAGGATCTCCGACGCCATGGTGAGTAGTCGGGCCAGCTACTTGACGGGCAAGGGGAAGGGGTGGTTCGACGGCCAGGAGAGTCAGCCAGTAGTATACGGGCTGGCGCAGTGCATGGACGGCATGCCGCCGGAGCGTTGCCGGAGTTGCCTGGGCGGCATCACCGACCAAGGGAAGGAGATGGTCAGCAATGGCCTGACGGAAGGCATGGTGCTCGGGGTGCGCTGCAGTCTGTGGTACCACTACCAGACGGACGGAGAATTCTTCGCCGGCGAGCCAGGGGTGTTAGCGTTCCTAAACATGCCTTCTTCTAGAGACGGTACTATACATGCCTGCTGGTACTTAATTACCTTCACCTTCAATAATTTGTGTTTTGTTGATTTGGTTCAATTAACCCGTCTTTCGTCGTCAGTTTTCACCGTCTAAGAATTACTGCTCAACAGAGACATTGCTTTCATCTAATTCACTAGTTTCCATTAAACTAGCCGTGTTTAGATTCAAAATTTTTTCAACAAACTTTCAACTTTTCCGTCACATCAAATGTTTGGACACATGTATGGAGCATTAAATGTGGACGAAAAAAAACAATTGTACAGTTTGCATATAAATCACGAGACGAATCTTTTGAGCCTAATTACGTCATGATTTGACAATGTGATGCTACAGTAAACATTTGCTAACGACAGATTAATTAGACTTAATAAATTCGTTTCACAGTTTAAATGCGGAATCTGTAATTTGTTTTATTATTAGTCTACGTTTAATACTTCAAATGTGTGTCCGTATACTTAAAAAAAAATTTTGGCACACGAACTAAACACAGCCTAACTTTCATACCTTCAAAGTGTCATGTCATGTGGCCTCTTATTCAAAAAATAAAATAAAATAAAAAGTGTCACGTGGCCTTAGCTTATCCTTATCAGTCAAAATTCGAATTTTCAACCTTATATTTGAAACCAATTTTGGGTTTCTTCATCGAAGTTTATTTTTCAGCCTATGCTTTAAATCGCTAAGAACACATATATAAAAGTTTTATTCACAAATTATTTTTCGTTTACAAATATGCCGTTTGGCTAATTTCATGAATAAGCCAAACGATAGGGCCTAGTTTCCACTAGTTATAACTCATATCAATGGATGTGCAGAAAGCAAGTTCGGGCTCTGGGCTACAATTGGATCGTTCTTCCTCATGGTATCATTTTCATGTTTCTTTGTGTATATTTGGATCAAACAGGAGAGAAAAAGAGGTAAATATATAACTAAATATTAGACTCACAACGTTCCTCGTTTGTGTAAGGATATATGCATCTGATTCGATTATATAGCTACCAGCTACTGTGACAAGAATAGACTGTTTCACTGTTTTCTTTTTTCAGAAGCAAGATTTAAACTACGACTGATATCGATGGCAATACAAAATGTGATAAATCTTTGGAGGATTGAAGAAGGCAACTCAGGATTTTCATTGTATAATTTCTCTCAGATAAAAGAAGCTACACAAGACTTCTCAAGGGAAAACAAAATTGGGCAAGGTGGTTTTGGATCTGTTTATAAGGTAATTGACTAATTGTATACTTGCATTGGTATTCAACATTTTTAATATTTATATTGTATATTTTTCAAATGAACTTTGATTTTTTTAATCAGACTATTTCTGCTGTAATTCCTTTATCTTTTTTTTTCAAAAATATTTATGTTACATGCCAATGTGGCACTCAACATCGTAATTGTATAAATGTCAGTTTTTTAAAATTAAAAAACAAAAACTGTGTCCTCCACTTAATATATGACTCTAATGTTCTTTCTTTTCAGGGCCTATTACCTGGTGGTCTTGAAGTAGCAGTTAAAAGACTTTCAGCATGTTCTGTACAAGGTTTATTAGAGTTCAAAAACGAAATTCAGCTGATAGCAAGACTTCAACACAAAAACCTTGTTAAGTTGCTTGGCTGTTGTATCGAGGGAGAACAGGAAAAGATGCTCGTCTATGAATACTTGCAAAACAAAAGCCTGGACGTCTTCATATTTGGCATGTCTCCAATAAGACTAGATATTTCTACATACTACAGTTTGAAGTTACAAGTATTTTGGCAATTTTCAATAACCTCATTCATATTTTGCAGATTTTGTGAAAGGAGCACAATTAACCTGGTCAAAGCGTCTACATATAATTGATGGGATAGCTCAAGGGATTCTATATCTTCACAATTATTCACGATTATGTGTTGTTCATAGGGATTTAAAAGCAAGTAACATTCTCTTGGATAGCGATATGACTCCAAAAATTTCCGATTTCGGGATGGCCAGAATATTCTATTCAAATACAATTGAATCAAATACCACGAGAATAGTAGGCACGCTGTAAGTACAAATGAATATACACAGTTATATATGTTCTCCATTTTGCGTCTAATTATTAGTTCCTACAATTCCGTACATTGAGAAAATTAGAAATTTTCTCCTGGAGAAGCATGCATATAAGTTAATTATGAAATTTGTGTATAAAAATTCCTATACTTCATGTGCCTTGGTAATATATAACAATTCTACTTCTGTAATATTCAGTGGCTACATATCTCCTGAGTATATTTTTGATGGGGTTTGCTCGATCAAGTCGGACGTCTTCAGTTTTGGCGTCTTGGTCTTGGAAATCATAAGTGGAAAGAGGACTTCTGGATTCTATCCTTACGATGGCAAACTATACAATCTCATTTCATACGTGAGTAAAATGTACTACAGATTATCCTTTTTGAAATGGACAGTGGAACCGGGTTGGTCCGGATATACTCCAAATTGAGAATCATTTGCTTTCATAATATCATCATTCTTTTTTTTTATTGTTGTTTTTATTGACAGAAATACACATTCATATATTGTTTTCTAATAGGCTTGGCTACTTTGGAGATCTGGACAGGGGCATGAGCTGATCTGTTGCTGTATAGAAAACAATCATGAATCGATACAAAGGTGCATTCAGGTGGCACTTTTATGTGTTCAGGAGAGGGCAGATGACAGGCCTTGTATCGACCAGGTGGTCACTATGCTAAACAGCGAGGGAATGACCTTGCCCGGACCAAATCAGCCAGCCTACTTCTATGTCCGCTCTAGTGGCAGCTCAGATGTTTTATCATGTGACAGCAATATAAGCATCACATTAGAAAGATAGATTAATTGTCATCATCTCCATTCAATACAGAATGATATCCAAAACTATGCTGTATACACTATCTTTTTGTCTTCCTTCCGGAGTTTAATCGAATTGTGTTCAGAACTTAATTATTTTTTTTCTATTTAATAATGTAAATTAGTGTGACAAAACATTGTGCTCCTATATCTGATGATGTTCTCTTGTGATTATCATATTACAATAAATAGGATAAACCTGGATTGTAGAGTATTTGGCGCATCTGCATTTTTCGAAGGGTCTCATTGATTGGCTTATTCTTATGCTTATAAGTCAAAATTTAAATTTTAGAACTTGGTTTTGATTCTGATTTTTTTTTATTATAGTTTATTTTATAACATTTGCTTTTGAGTCGCTAGACACGTATAACAAATTTTACACACAAATATTTTTTATTTATTAATAAACGATTTGAATTTAACATATGAATAAGCGAAACAATAGGGCTGAAAATCTAAATAGGAAATCTAAATGCGAGCCGTCAGCCACCGAGTAGCATCGATTCCTAATTTCTTCAACATTTAACCAAAAACTTTCCAATCAGGTTCCAAAGCTTTCTGATGGGGGAAACAAGAGGAGCTTTCAAGTTTCGAGCAACAAATGGAGAAATTTGTTGGGAAACCCAATACTGGAATCCCTAAACTTTCATCACGGAAAACTAAAAGTTTTAGAATAATCTCACCTCAGATCCGAAGATGTTTTCAACTCCTCATTGCACGCCCGTACTCGAGAGCAGCGGCGGCCTCGCCGACGGCGGCGTTGGACGCGACGGGTAGCGTGGCGCGGCTACGATTCGCCGCACACGGGAGGAGAGAGAGGAAAGAGGATTCGCGCTCGCACCGCCCTTCGGAGTCGGGAGTTGGGCCGCGCCGCCGTGTGCTGTGGTGGGCCGTTTTGCTGGCTCGCGGAGTAACTGGCCCAGTTTTACTGTTGACCACCGTAGCAATATTTTAGGGATAGATGTAGGACTTCACCCAGCCCAATCCGGCACACGTTTCGCTCGAATTTTTTTTATTTACAATTTTTTTTATTAAAAGTTTTACAAAAATAATTTTCCATTTTGAAAATTGACGGAAGTAGTCGCCTACCGCCCTCTGGGAGGGCGATTTTTAAAAATCGCCCTCTCCGAGGGCGGCGAAAATGACGTGGCAGACGGCCGTTCGCTCTCGGGCGACGGCCGTCAACGAAATTTGCAGGCGGCCCCCTTGCCGCCCTCCGCTAGGGCGATTTTATACTGTGCGGGGGGCCGCCTGCAAATGGGCGGCGGGGGGGGGCATGGAATTTTGCAGGCGGCCCCCTTGCCGCCCTCCGCTAGGGCGATTTTGTACTGTGGGGGGGGCCGCCTGCAAATGGGCGGCGAGGGGGCATGGAATTTTGCAGGCGGCCCCCTTGCCGCCCTGGGGGAGGGCGATTTTTGCCTCCCCCTCTATAAAGCCCAGTCCCTCCTCTGTGAAATTTCATTATATTCACTAAAAATCCAAAAAAAACGAAAGAGAGAGAGGGGAGGGCAGCAGAAGGGGAGCGGCGAAGCCCTGCTGGTTCGCTCAATTCATCACAAGTATGCTCCCATACATCTTTTGCATTTGTACTAATATGTTATGTTTGAGTATATATGTTGCGTTTTAGTTTTAGTTCCATATATTTTAGCACATCTGTAGCACACAGCACATATGTGTAGATCCAGAGCATAGAATATAATAGTATGAATTGAGACATAGACAGTAGTGTTAATTGTAAGATGTAGTTTAGTTTGATCTGGAGAATGTAACGTAATTTTAGAAATTTAGAGAACAATATTGTAGAGAATGTAACTTAGGGCGTAGTACAGAAATGCGAGGTTAACGCAGTTATTGTTTTCATCAGGCACAATGTCAAGTAAGGTCACATTTCAGATAGTTCACGGTGAAGGAAATATTAGATTTGGTCCAGATGGTGTTGATCTGTCAGATTTTGTAATGACATCTAAGGGCATCGATAGGCCTGCGGAGAGAACATTTCAGTCAATTTATAGTTGGTTGTTGAGAGGATTTAGAATAGACCAAGAAGTATACACAATGTCAGTGTCAGTTGTAGTGAGTCGTGCAACAGAAGGTTATTTTTGGGAACTAATGCCGATGGACAGCACTGATGCTTGGAGACGGTATGTGGAAATGGCTTTTGAACGGTCATGGCCCCTCGTTATATTTGTGTCGGTAGAAGAGAAAGATATAAATGTTTCAATGCAAACCGAAGATGTAGAGGGTCCTATCAATGCAGGGGATGTTGTTGGACCATCGATGCAAAATGAGGAAAATCAACCAAGGGAGGAGCAGGCTATGGGCATGGCGGATGAGGGGGAGAGAGTCGGTATAATTGTTGATGAAATGGAGAGGGAAGATTCGGATAATGAGGAAGTGGACGACGACGCATCATCCGATGAGGAAGGTGATGTAATGGCCACTGATTGGGCAAATGAGGACTTCTCTGGACTTGTTATATCAGAGGGTGATCATGTACCCTGGGAGTATAAGGAGAACGAGGTAATTGAGGGTGCAAGGTATGCTCATAAGGATGAGATGAAGGAGGCGGTGAAGCATTGGGCAGTTTCCTTGCAGAGAGAGTTTAGGGTGGTCAAGTCAACAAATTATGTGTATGAAGTGAGGTGCATGAAGGAAGATTGTCCGTGGCGTGTCCATGCATATAAGGGTAAATGGAATGATTATTGGAAAGTTAGCATTGTGACCGAGCACAAGTGCTACTTACAAGGGGTGGAGAAGTATCACCGAAACATCACTTCAGCTTTTGTGGCAAGTGAGATGTACAGCAGTGTTGTTGGTAACATTGGCTTTGAACCAAAATCAATTATTAGGCACATCGAGAACAAATTCAAGTACACCATAAGCTATGCAAAGGCCTGGAGAGCCAAACAAAAGATCATTGAGATGAGGTATGGCACATTTGAAGCTTCTTATGATAATTTGCCTCGTTTGTTAGCCACCATTGCCCAGAGGAATAATAATACGTACTATGACCTACATACATTTACATCGGTTGATGATCGAACAAAGAGTGTGCTGCAAAGAGCCTTTTTCTCATTGGGTGCTTGCATCAATGCTTTTGTGCATTGTCGACCTGTTCTATGCATAGATGGAACTTTTATGACAGGTAAATACCGAGGTCAGATATTGACAGCAATTGGGTGTGATGGGAACAACCAGGTTCTACCTATGGCTTTTGCATTTGTAGAGAGTGAGAACACTGAAAGCTGGTACTGGTTCCTAGAGAGAGTGCACATTGCAGTGGTGCGTATGAGGCCCAACGTTTGCCTTATACATGATCGTCATGCGGGTATGTTGCGGGCTATTGACTACTTGCAGAATGGTTGGGATGAGAAGGGACTTCCAGCTAAGTGGCCTGATGTTCGGAGTCGGTGGTGCATGCGTCACATGGGTGCAAATTTCTACAAGCAATTCAAGAACAAGCATCTTATGGAGCTCTTTAAGAGGCTCTGTGCGCAGAACCAAGAGAAGAAATTTAATGAGTTGTGGGACAAGTTGGATGAGTTGACAACGAAGCAAACAGATGAGCAATCTCGCAGACCACTAGTTGAAGGTGACGAGCCTCCCATACCTCTTGGTGCATTACATGATGACCCACCAACAATGAGAAGGAGGTCAGGGTCGTCCATCAGAAATTTCACTCAGTGGATTGAGAATGAGCCTAAGGAGAAGTGGTCTCTATTGTTCGACACCGATGGATCTCGGTATGGCATAATGACAACCAATTTGGCAGAGGTGTACAACTGGGTAATGCGAGGAGTTCGGGTACTTCCATTGGTTGCTATTGTTGAATTCATCCTTCACGGCACGCAAGCGTACTTTAGGGATCGATACAAGAAAATTGGTCCGTCCATGGCCGATAACAACATAGTGTTTGGCAACGTAGTGACAAAGTACATGGAAGATAAAATCAAAAAGGCACGGAGACATCGAGTTGTTGCTCAAGGCACACAAGTGCATCGGTATGAAATAATGTGTGTTGATAGGAGCAGGCGTGGTATCTATCGCAAGCAAGCCGTGCAGGAATGTGTCTTGAAGGCGGATGGTGGATGTACCTGCAGTTGTATGAAGCCGAAGCTTCATCACGTTCCTTGCTCACACGTTCTTGCTGCTGCCGGTGATTGTGGCATATCTCCCAATGTGTACGTCTCAAATTATTTCAGGAAAGAAGCAATCTTTCATACATGGAGTGAGGAGATATATGAGTTCAGGATCTCAGGATCTTACACAACGCTGAGTGCCCAAGTTTTTTATATTCCAGATCCATCTAAGTTAAGGGTGAAAAAGGGTCGACGCCAAACTAGACGCATCAGAAATGATATGGATGAGTCAGAAGCAGGTGGGAGGACTTTACGCTGCAGCAAGTGTGATCTGCTCGGCCATACTTACAAGAAATGCCCGAAGAATGCAGAAGTTCCAAGCGGCGCAGATGCTAGTCCATCTGGACAGGCAAGTGATGGTAGGCGACCACCTGGTGAAGGAACAACAAGCAGGCGCGCAAGACCAAGGCGTCGTCGCGCAGCAGGCGATTCCATGGTGTAACAATGCTTTCGATTTAGGAAATAAAATGCTGTTGTGATGTAATGAGTGTTCGGACTAAATACTTCTATCGTGTAATTTCAATTCAATGTTGTTGTAATGAGTACCTCCGACTATTGTTGTACTAGTAGTATTGCGAATTATTCGGTGTTGTATCATAATGTTATCGTGATGAGTGTTCGGACTAAACACTTTTGTTTGTTTGTACTCTTGTTTAATATGTGTTAGTAATTTGCTTATGAACATTTATTACTTATGTTGAACTAATTATTTATATGTTTCTGATCAACCTATTTGATGCAGGTATGGCGTACGACACACCGGCGCTGTTGAACCGTGGGATTGACAGGAACCACCGCTCGTTCCTGTCAGCAGTCGAGGGTGCACAGCTCGGCACCTTCCGTCCACGCACGTCGCGCGAGTGGTTGCGTGTCGACCCCCGTCACGTTCCTTGGTACGCGTATGTTCACATTTCAACTCAACTTTGCTTTGTGTTGTACTTATGTTTGAAGTTTGCTCTATACAGGTTGCGTGCGGCAGGCCTTCTACCACTTTGTAGGCTT